AGACAAATGACATACATCAATGTATTTGGGATTCCACTTTATCATGTTAACTACGCTTATCAGCGCTTATTGTTCATTCATTGACAAGTTTTTTGTCTGTGACATAAATGCGGATTTATAAGTGGTTATACACCACTTGCGAATAAATACGTTTACAATTTATGAATTTTATCTCGATTAGGTCATAGTCTGTAAAGAATGTGTATTTTACGGATTGTAAATAAGCATATCCCCTATCCACGTGCTCAACGGTAGAACCCTTATTAGCATTTTCTACTACTAGCCAGTAACATTTCGAAAAACACTAAATTAAATAAACGTGGTTGAACATCTGTTAGAGAGCAAGAGAGGAGCTATAATTTCGTTTGCTGCATTCACACGCTGACATATTAACTTAAACTTTATTATTATTATTATGCAATTTTCAAATATGAAAGTACCGCATTGGGCACTCCAACTAAGACCTAAGGAAAATTGTACATCCTCTAGTGGCAATTTCATTCTATATATTCGTTATATGTATGAGTATATATTCCTACACATCACCATATGTTATTGACTCTCTAAAACTTGAATTAAATGCATAACAAATTTAGTTCGAACTTGTTCTTAATGGAAAAGAACTAGTTCTTAAACCTAGTAACCAGTTGTAAGTTGCCACTTTCTCTTCAAATAGCTGCTGGGCTTGCAAATTTATTTCTTATAGCCTATTTTTTATTGTTGTTGTAATTTGATTCATGTTTCAGTGAAATGAGTTCTAGTTTTACAGCCAAAGCTATTTACGTCACATAGGAAGTAATTTTATTCGATATTTTTGAATAATGCTTCCTTGGTGGCAAAAAGTTGTGACTTTCAATGCTGATACAGCAGAAATTAGAGAAATAGTTTTGGAAAATTTTTGCATTTACATATGTTGCATGAGAGTTTTGTTTTCGATTATTAGACACAGTCAAGGCCTTGGAAAAGAAAACAATAAGGATTTGAATGATAGACATATACAACACCCATATACCGCTATGTTTGGTGGTTACCGAAACTTGGATTTCACTTAAAAGTTTGTTGCTTATCTGAATAATGGCCTAAGTGGAATGGCAACCCTCAGCCATATGGGTTCAGAGGGTAGTTATATTTTTTATGGCTCAAACGCGCTTATAGAAATAAAGGTTTTGGACCCTAGGTTTCTTTGGCCATAATCAGTTTCAGGCCATTTGGAGTCGATTTAGCGGTGTCCACTGTCTGTCTAGTGGTCCAAACTTTGTACATCGCTATATTATTTTCAAACTAAGATCAAGTTCGGAGATGGATATATATCAGTACCTTCCCACAAAAGGAAGGTATTTCACAGAAACCCAGTAAACAAAGGTCAAAAGCCGGTCGGTTCCGACTATATGAGGCATCATATACCACTATGCATATTTAGTAGAGCTACCTGGAACAAATAAACGTTTATATGGACATTTATCATACCAAAAATGATAGTTTTTTAATGCGTATTGTGGCTTTGAGGATGTTATAATTTGAAATCGAATGGGGTATATCCAACTCTCAATCGGCTTCCACTAAATTCGAGCGAGGTGTTTGTACGAGTACCTCTCGTACCAAATATCAATGTTAATATAGTATAGTGTCTGATGTGACTTCTAGAGAGATTATATTAAAAAAAAAACAAGAGAACAAGTTAAAAGGAATCAGTCGGTTTAGCAGACAGATGTATACCCTCAGCCAATGTTCGTTTATTTAACTATATTTTGACTTCTGTTATGATTATTTGAATTGTTGACCCTCTATGGAGTAGGTTCCGAAGAAGTGGGCTAATATTGTCCATTTCGTATCGGTCCTAAATAAATATGAAGTAGATATTGCGACGTGCCAGGTTTGGTCTATATCGACTACTTCCTTCAATTTATATGAGATATGTGATAATTTTTAGAAAATGTTAAAATGTGAGTGAGGTACCAGGTATTGTCGACCGAAGTATGTATTCCATATTCATGCTTCATCTAATACAGATAAAATATTTGTATGGACAAAATTACAAGAAAATCTAAAATTTATATCCAATTTTATGCGAAATCATAAATTCCATATTCATCAAGTCTGAAATCGGATGTTAATTTCGTGTCTTAAGAGCGCCATTGATATTTAAAATTTTGATCCTTTGTGCGGGAGATACCAGAAGGAGTGCACCGATATATCCCATCTTCACAGCAGATGTTGTGTTAGTAAAAATAAAGGGATTTGTGAAATATGAAGAGAGTCAGATGCTTATTTCGATTTAATAATCGTTTCGGTTATTCAAAACTTTGATCCTTTGTGGCGGGGGTAACAGGAGGAATTGTCCGATCTCTACCATCTATATCACAGATCTTGTGTTGGTAGAAGTATTGAGATGTGTCAAATCTGAATCGGATGGTAATTTCATGTTTTATGAGATTCATGGATATTCAAAATTTTGACCCTTTGTGGCGGAGGTACCAGAAGGAGTGAATCGATATATTCCACCTTCAAACCACACCTTGGGTTAATAAAAATATTGTGATGTGTGTAATTTGAAGATCGCACTCTTAGATCACAGACCGACAGATAGACGGACGGACATCGCTAGATTGACTCCAACAGTCAATCGGTCTCTCACTGAAATATTTACATATTTCGACAGGAAAGGAATACAACTTTTGAATAGCTATAACTCATGATCCAATACAAATAAAGAGACAATTTACGTTGACCTTGGTATTGCAGCCAACGTTCATATGAAATTTGCGGAAAGAAAATCGGGTCACACATTGCAGAGAACATCTATTACTAACACAACTACTTATATATAGATGTGTCATTTATTATACCCTACACCACATAGTGATAAGGGTATTATGTCCTTCTGCATTTGTTTGTAACATGGAGAAGGAAACGAGATAGACCATAGTCAATTTTGGAATCTTCTTAGAATCACGATTTATGCATGTCAGTCCGTCTGTCTATGTATTTTAGTGAACAAAATGCGATTGGGATGAAATTTTCCAAACAATATTTGTTTGGCCTAAGGACGAACCGTATTGAAATTTGTGAGAATTGGATCAAATTTAGATATAACTCCCATATATCCTATCCTATCGAGTTCGGGTTAATTGCGCAAATGTCCAATATCTTTCCAAATGACCAGCATTTAGGCACATCCAACCGAATTCAGTCCAGAAGTAAGTACATCGGTTCAGATATAGCTACAGCTCCCATATATATATATATATATATATTTCATCTGATTTCGGGTTTTAAGTCCCTCACATGCGTAATATGCACTCTACAAAAATGATATTAAGTACCAGATATCCCTCTGCCAAATTTTATCAAGATCGGTTCAGATTTGGATATAGCTCCCACATATACCTTTATCCTATTTCAGATTTATTGTGCACCAAATGGCTATTATCAGCCCAAGTCGACTGAATCTTGGCAATTCCGGCTGAATTCATCCTAGAAACAAGTACTTCAAACTTGGTGAAAATCTGTTCATATATATCTATAGCTCCCATATATATGGTTCATCCGATTTAACGTTTAAGTCCCTCACATGCGTAATATGTACCCCACAACAATGATCTTTGGTACCAGATATCAGATACAGCTCAGAAATTTTATCTAGATCGGTTCAGATTTGGATATGGCTCCAAATACCTATATCCGATTTCAGGTTTATTGTGCACCAAATGACTAATTTCAGCACAAATGGACTGAATTTTGGCACATCCGACGGTTTAGCCCAGCAGCAAGTACTTCAAATTTTGATGAAAATCTCTCTCTGCCAAATTTTCGGTTCAGACCTTTATATATCTTCGATATACATCTTCATCCGATTTTACGGTTATTGTCCACCATATATGTGATATCAACCCAAATTGGATAGATTTTTTCATATTCAACCGAATTTTCCATTTGGTGAAACTCGTTTGGGTATATCTATTGCTCCAATAAATATTTTTTAATGAAAATCTAAGTTGGTACTAGAGATACAAAAGCCTCCGTCAAATTTGTTAAAAATCGATTCAGAGTTCGATATAGTTCCCAAATTGTGACTACTCTAAAGCCATGATACGTATTTAAATAGGGTTCATAGTTGGTATGATTTACTTCACATAAATTCGCAATATACATTTTTTTTGGTGTCGGAGCTCTACTAAATACGCATAGTGGTGTAGGGTATCATATAGTCGGCACCCCCCGACTTTTGACCTTTCCCTACTGGTGATTGTTTCGTTAATTGTGCCTTTTTGTAACGGGTGTACCAGAAGTGATATGTAAAATCTATGTACTCAATCCGAGCTTGAAATTTTTTTATTGTTTTCAAACAATCGCCTACGAAAACTAATATAAAGTAAATATTCACTATTTTTCGTTTATATATAATTTTACCGCCGGAGGCCTGGCGTGTTTTAGGTTTCGCCAAGTTTTTGCCGAAATGCGTCGTTTAGAGTTCCCAAAAGGCAGTAAATATCTCTGCATATTTTCGAAATTTTTAAATAGCTTCAGCTTTTCTCAACATATTTTGAAAACTGACTACTATGTATTGATAAAAAAAATTAACCAATGTTTACAATAAATTGACCACAAGTTCCACACAAATGATAAGCACTAAAATTGTCAGCAACATTAAGCACCAGAAGAGAAAATTAAATTTGCAAAAATGTTGTTCATTTATTGGACTATTTTATATATTGAAAATGTTGTACTTTTTTTTAGTTTTTTTTTTTTTTTTTTTTTTTTTTTTAAAAAGGCCAAAAATGGCGGGTATCTAAAAGACGAAACACAGTATTAGGAATTGAAGGAAGAATCGAGGAGCGTTCGGTTTTATAAACATTTTGAATTTTTCACATTTTATCTTTTCCACTTAAAAAAATGGTATTTCAAAATTGTAAATTTTTTCACTTTCAGTGCTCTTCCCATTTTTATAACATTTAATCATTTTGTTTCTTCATTTTGATTATTTTACTATTTTTAAGGACCTCTTCGCAAATATTTGAATTATTCTCTTATCGTATTGCCTTAAAACATTTGTTTATTATTCGGAATTCGTTTTTTATTGCTATTATTTTATTACCGATGCCGTTGCTATTTTTACGAAACGTGCTGTTGCACGCGCTGTCAAATGTCAACTGATCTCCAATAATACGATATGAGAAGATCGTTTGCACAAATATTTTATTTGCTATTTGACGTTTGTTGTTGTTGTTGTTGTCGTTGTTTCGTTTTGTATTTTGAGTTTTTGTCATTCAGTTCTCGCTGGCAATGCGCGTAGATAAAAAAGCATTCATAATTTGTTGTCGTGTAGATACTTTTATTTACTTTCTCGCATTGCTGCCGCTGCTGTTGTTGTGGTTATTGTCATTGTAACTGCTTGGCTTCTCAGCTGCTAAAATATCTATATTCTGAGTGCCACAACAGAGATAGTACAGTGAATCTGAAAGATGAAAACTGCAGTGCAAATAATCTAATCAAGATATTGGAATTATATAGAAGAATATAGGATGGGTTTCTAGAGTCCAAGTCGATCTAGTCTTGTCTGTATATTCAGTGACCATGTAAACCTTGTACTTAGTTTAGAGGTCAGACGGTTAGATCAATAGCAAATCTTGCGCGAATTTATGTGAATAAGTTATACGCGTTTACGGCCGTAAATCTGCGGGAAATGGTATCAACTTAGTTTGATATTAACCCAACTTTATGAGACTAAGAGTTGAGTCCATTTTGAAATATTTCACCATTAGGTAATCAAGTCTGAGTCTGAGTAAACCCATTCTGAATAATTTCACAAGCCCTTTTTATACCCTCTGCCATATGGCTACAGAGAGTCTACAGGGTGAGATGAAAAAACTGCAACCAACTTCAGACTGCTGCCATTTCTAAGCCACTTGTCCGACAGCTGTTAAAATTATTCCAGTGACAGCTCATTATATTGTTTACAAGCGTACAAAAGAATTTTCCAGGAAAAAAAGTTATTCGTGATGGATTTCAAGCGTGATAGTGTGATTTCTCCATTTAGAGCACTCCAGCATTTAAATGTGAATAAATCGTTACCGTGATACTGGTAGTGCAGCAATATCATCAGAAATGTTCCGAAAAGTAAGGAAGCGACTTGATCGAAACCCGCGTCGCAGTGGTCGAAAAATGGCTCGTGAGCTGAACATATCGCAATATTCCATTCGGCAAATATTGAAAAATGAGGTCGGGGTAAAGCAAGACAGAAAGAAAATAGACTCAAAAGAGCTAAAGAGTTGCTTCGCTTGGCCGAAAGTGGTGAACTGCCGAATTTGGTTTTCTCCGATGAGAAAACATTCGTTGTCCAGCTGTTTATAAACAAACAAAATGATCGTGTTTACTTGCCAAAGATGTAAGCTGAAAATGTGCACCTTCGGTTGGCCACCAGAACTCAAGCGTCGGCCATGGTGATGGTGTGAACCGCCATAACAGCTCGTATTAATCCACTATGACATCAGGATAAATGCCGAATATTATCGCCAAAATATTCTGGAGGTTGTATAAAAGCCATGGGCACGCAAAAAATTTTGGCCGCAGACCTTGGACATTCCAACAGGTCTCAGCACTACCGCACTCAGCACGCACCACACAAGAATGGTTACAAAATGAGGTTCCTCGCTTCATTTACAGTGCACAATGGCCACCAAAATCTCCGGATACCAATCCGTTGGACTATTGTGTCTGGAGTATTTTGGAAAACAAGGTTGGCACTAAAAAACACTAAAGTATCGATCACCTCAAGCAACCGCTTCGCCGGGAATGGGCCAAAATACCACAGAGCAATATTCGGTCAGCGTGTGACGGTTTCAATGGCCGTTTGAAGGCTATAATTCGGGCCAAAGGTGACGAATTCGAACAAATCTAAACTTATTGTAAATTTTGATGCTATTTCCGACATTTTTTGCGTTCATTCAATAAAATTTATAAAAACAACAATAAAGGGATTAAGCCTGGCCATTTTGCAATAACAAAATACTATAGTATCCCGAACAAACAAGCCAACACTGTTCTATTTAAAAAAAAAATTAAAAATTATGGCGTTTGACTTCGTTGCAGTTTTTTATCTCACCCTGTGTATTAGCCATTTGGTGCACAAAAAACCTGAAATCGGATAAATATATATATATGGGAGCTACATCCAAATCTAAATCGATATTGACAAAATTGTAAACACTTATTTCTGAGTTGTATCTTATATCTGGTACAAATATTATTGTTGTGGAGTGCATATGACGCATGTGAGGGAGTTATAGCTTTATCAGAACCGATTTTTACCAAATTTGAATTACTTATTTCTGGGATGAATTCCGTCAATAGTGCCAAAATTCAGTCAAATTGGGCTGATTTTAGCAATTTGGTGCCAAATAAACCTGAAACCGGATAAAGTTATTTATGGGAGCTATATCCTAAGATCCGATATCGATAAAATTTGACAGAGGTATTTTGAGCTCCATAAGTTATCTGGTACCAAATATCATTCTTGTGGATGTGAGGGACTTAAAACTTCAAATCGGATGAAACATATATATGGGAGCTAGAGCTACATCTAAACTGATTTTTACCAAATTTGAAGTACTTGCTTCTAGACTGAATTCGGTCGGATGTGCCAAAATTCAGGTCATATGAACCGATATTGGTCATTTAGTGCACCATTAATCCGAAATCGGTTGAAGATATATATGGGAGCTATATATAAATTTGAACCGATTCTTACCAAATTTCAATAGAGTTCATCCTTGGGCCAAACAAATATTGTTTGGGAAATTTCATTTCAATTGTATAATAAATGGACAGACGGACCGACACGCATAAATCGACTCAGAAGGTGATTCTATGAAGATCCTCAAAAGTAACTATGGGTCCATCTCGCTTCCTTCTCCATGTTACAAACAAATGCACAAAGACATAATACCCTTACTACTATGTGGTGTAGGGTATAAAACCCTCTTTCTCATAATATGCTACCCACATTTCTCAACCAAATTGTGTGTTAATGTATATTTCGTAACGTAAGCTATCTTGAAAAATATTAAATACAACCGATTATTTTTTTTCAGAATTTACACATTAACATCATGTCAATTATTTGCAACCACTGTGCCCGGGTGAACCATAAATAGTAACAACTAGAACAATAACAAACACAATAATTTGCACTGCTCATTTTTCTCCCACTTCTAAAAACTCAGCTCAGCTGATCAATTATTCTCATCTAACAGCGACTACGTCACAATTACTAATTGAGTGGGAGGTTGGATAGAATTGGTTGGGTGAATAGCACAGAAGGAGAAAATATGTGTAAAGGGAAATGAAAATTATCGGTGTGTTTGTTGATTTGAGCATTCGGGCGATTGTAATTGTGTTTCCTGAATTCGCAGAGACAAAACGAACATTTTTTGAAATTTGATTTAATTTATTTGAGAAGCGTGTTACCGGTTGTATTTCATGCAAATATTGTTAAACCACAATTGATAATAGATAGTTGCAATAAGAGTTTATTTTTTGTTGTTCGATTTTTTTTCAGATTTTTTCTCACCTACATTGCACTGAGTATCTGCACTTGGATTCTTGTCGTTTTGGGTGCTAGTTGTGCTGAAATCTCATAACGTATGGCAGTGCCGTTTGTTTTGAGGTGTTCGGTGTAATCACATTTCTTCATCGTTCTATTTGCATGGATGTGTGTGTATGTAATTTAGATATTTTTACTTCATATAAACGTAGAAAATTTACAGTTCGTCATTGTATCTTCCCAACTCGACTGTTGGTGCCGGATGAAGATATTATGTCAACTCGAAATATCGCTACTCGCAATTTGTTATTAATTTTCTGTTCAAACTCGAGTGTTGAAGAACTTGAGAGTGCTGCACTTGAAGCGATTCAACCCCATTCGCTTTTAATGTTCGTATAAACTTATATTTAGTTTATTTGTTTATGTTTTCCGCAATGTTTTGTTAAAATAAAAGCTCTTTTTATACCCTACGCCACATAGTGTTAAGGGTATTATGTCTTTGGGCATTTGTTTGTAACATTTAAAAGGAAAAGAGATAGACCCATATTTACTTTTGAGGATCTTCACAGAATCAGTTTCTGAGTAGATTTATGCATGTCAGTCTGTCCGTCCGTACGATTGACTGAATTTGGGCAATTACGACTGAATTCATCCTAGAAACCAGTACTTCAAATTTGGTGTAAATCGGTTCAGATATAGATATAGCTCCCATATAGATGTTTTATCCAATTTGGGGTTTGAAGTCAACCACACACGTAATATGCATTCCATAACAATGATCTTTGGTATCAGTCATCAGATACAGCCCTGAAATAAGTGTATCAAATTTTATCAAGATCGATTCAGATTTGGATGTAGCTCCCATATATATCTTCAACCCATTTTGGGTTAATTGTGCACCAAATGGCCAATATCAGTCTAAATGACCTCAATTTTAGTACATCCGACCGAATTCAGCCTAGAAGCAAGTACGATTTTGTGTGACAGTCCCTCACATGCATAATATGCTCTCCATAACAATGATATTTGATACCGGACATCAGATGCAGTTCGAAAATACCTCTGCTGAAATCGGGATCGAGATCGGTTCAGATTACTATATAGCTTCTATATACATCTTCTTCCGATTTTACGTTTATTGCTCACCATGTATGTAATATCAAGCCAAATTGAATAGATTTTTTCATAATCAACCGAATTTTATCATTTGGTGAAACTCGGTCCGATATATCTATTGCTCCAATAATTATACCCTACACCACATAGTGGTAAGGGTATTATGTCTTTGTGCATTTGTTTGTAACATGGAGAAGGAAGCGAGATAGACCCATAGTTACTTTTGAGGATATCCATAGAATCACTTTCTGAGTTGATTTATGCATGTCAGTCCGTCTGTCCGTCCGTCCGTCTGTCCATGTATTCTTGTGAACAAAATGCAGGTCGCATTTATTATCCGATTGAGATGAAATTTTGCACATATCATTCGTTTGGCCCAAGGACGAACCCTATTGAAATTGGAAATAATCGGTCAAAATTCAGATATAGCTCCCATATATATGTTCGTCCGATTTGCCTTTTATGGTGCACCAAACGTGTAATATCAGCCCGAA